GTTTTACTGATGTTCAGTCATGATTTTTCCATCCTATCCTATTTTATGCTTCTAAATAGAAAACTCCCCCCCCATAAATATTTGGTACCTTTGTATCCCAAACACCTTCAATTAAAACCTTTTAAGTGGTTTAGCTATATTTCCTCTTGAAAAAGGCAATGATTTCCAATAGATTTCATGTAACTTAATTATGTTGGGAGTATTAAGCCATTATCGTTATCAAACCCCTTTGCATATTTCACTTAATTATCATTCAGAAGCTGCTTTCCCTTAGTATACCAATGGAAAAAAAGAAGATCATCACTGGAAACTCAAAAGTACTATTATCTATCACCACCTCTGCAGAAATTGTAGAAAGAAAACTTTGACCACAGGGGAAATATCTGTTCTTGAAAGCAGGAAAATTAACTGGAGTATAAACTGAGTGGTTTCTTTGCAATCTGGGTGTAGATCCTCTAAAGCTTTTGTGACAATGTTTTATACTGATAAAGGATAAATATGCAGTGGTATCTTTTTTTAGGGGACAATTTAAATCTGTCCTCATGCAGAGGTCAGTGAAGAGTTTTTCAGAACATCAGACTTGGCTTTGTAGATCATTTCAGAGATAGAAAGGTGGGGGTGGGAGTCTCATTACATTACAGCTACACTACAGCTATACATTTCATTACATTACAACTGAACTAAAACCTTACCCCAAAAATGGTTAATTATGTTTACATTGAAAACAGAAGGTTTATTTTAATTATATTAATTCTAACATGGTATTTAGCATCACATTGCATTAATGTACAAGGAATGTAAGTATAAAGATAGCACCCATGGTTTTGATTTGTCTGTCTTGATAACTCCATTCTCAGGGTGACATACAATTAAAACAAGAGGATGAAGAGGTTGGGGAGGCAAAACCCTGAAGGGGAAATCTTAGAGAAACAGAGAACTTTTGCAATTCAGAAGTTACTGTGTAAAGAAAAATGCCCTTTTGCACAGAAAATGGTAGGGCACAATGTTTTCTCATACAAAGAGTCATGTTTTGCACAAAGAACCATGGCTACAATTGATCATGGCTCAGCATAGCATGGTAGTACAACATGTACACCTCTCCAGACCCCCATACAATCTCAAAAGACACCCTCCCACACACAACCCTTGGGGTGAGAAGGAACAGTGAAGCATCAGACCACATAGGCTCCTCATGTGTGCTCTGCCACATTTTTTTAATGTTTGAATTTTGGATTTATTTATTTTATTTTTTTGCAACAAACACATATAGAGAAATTCCATGTTTGTTTTTGTTTGCTTGTTTTTGCAAAGGAATCTGTGTATTTGCAAACTGCACAAGTTTTATCCAGTTTGCTCTCTTCTTCCTCCAGTCCATTATTGACAACTGGTGCTGGTTTAGAACCAAAACAGTTTCCTTCGATTTAGTTTAGGAGAGGGAATTGTGCAGCCTTCCATGTGTTGTTGGACAGCAATCCCCAGTAGCCCAGCCAGCACAACTAATGATGAGAAATACTGGGATTTGCAGTTCAGGAACACCTGAAAGGATGCATTATTTCCACCCCTGAATCAGATGGAAAGGAGAAACATAATTGAGTATCATGAACATACTCTGGGAGACCTTTCCTATAGGTTTTATGTGTTAAATAGCATGGGGGATAAAAATGGACCTTGAGAGAAACCTTAGGCCAACAATCAAGGAGTCACATATGGAATTCCCCATCAACATATTGTGGGCTCTTCCTTCTAGAAAAGAAAAGTGCTGCTATAGGGCAGTGCCTTTCTGGTTAGCAGGACCAGAAGGATGTCATGCTGAAATGTCCAACAAAACATGTACATTTCTATGCATTAGGAGGGGAAAGGAATTGAGAAAATGTGAGAAAGCAAAACATATCCACTACCCCATCTAGGTGAAGAGCTTTCAGTGCTTAGTATACAATATATGTGTAGTGAAGACCTTGAACCTGGGGAATTACTAAAGTCCAAGTCTTCTATGGGATCTTTTATCCTAAGTTTATGGAGGTGGCTAGGGAATAGACTGATAGAGACAAAATTTTCCTATAAACTGTAATTTATTTGGAGATTCAAACATACAAAAACATTCTAACATACACGCATACACACAAGAACTCAGGAATAGAGTAGTTAGCTTGGATAGGCAACACAAGGCTTTCTAATGGTGATAATTACCTGAAGGAGGCTGCACATGATGAATGAAGATGGATAGACTCAATCGTTATGAAAGGAAAGTCAATGGAAAGAGCTGGGACTCTAGTCAGAAATCACAGTGGCGTACCATGAAATCTGGACAGACCTCAATGTGCCTGAGATTTTGGGGAGCATTTATACCCTTAAACCTAGCCTGGGGCAAAGAGTTGCTATTGTATATCAAAGGAATTTTGATTGTTATGCTTTAATGTAGACAATTTCCAAGGAAACAAGATAGAATGTTAATGTTATCTCATCTTCAGCTGGACACATCCTGGCTGGCACTCATAAAACCTCTAGGTGTGAATGTCCTGTTTTGCAGCTCCAAAGCCTGGCCTTTTTGATCTGCAAATTGTTGTAAATGCAGATGTGACTTTTGGGGTGCCTATGTGATGTGCACACTTTGAGTTCATGGTGGTAAATGTTCATCCCAGCCCAGGGCTATGGCAGGGACCCAAGAAGGGGTCTTTATATCAAATCAACTATTGAACATATGTTTTAAAATATTTTTATAACTTTTATTAAAGTTACAAATAACAAGCACAGTACCAATATGAACTGGGGGAAAAACCAAAAATACATTGTTATAATTGCACGAGAGTTGTATATCATCTGTTGAAAGCTATGGGAAAAGGAAAAAACAAATTAATCAAATGCATTTCTCCAAAGTGATAACGAGACAGCGAAAGATTTCTGTGTCAAAATTTGCAAAAGATATAAAAGTGAACTGTGTTTGCACAAGTGTATCTGATCCTGAATCATTTTGCGTTCTGTTGGATCTGCTGTGTCACTTTTTCTGAAAGAGCTAAATCCTAAACACGATGATACCACTGAGCTGTAATTTCTAGTTTTTCATTATTTCTTGCCTGGCAGCAAGCAAAAGACAAATTATGAGATGATTAGCAGTAGTAGTGGAGGACGTCACTGAAAGGAGTGAATTGTAGTGACATCATAGCTATCATTGCTTGACACTATGCACAGGGAGGTATAGGTGGCCCTCCTTGTGTAACCCCATCACCTACTAAACCCTGGGATGAGACACCCCAAGTGAGACACAGGCAGGATCAGAGCATTAAAAGAAAGGGAGGGAGGGACATTTTTTATACACATTTTTTTTACAACCAGAAAGAAGACTATACACATGGACAGCACCAGATGGTCAATACAAAAATCAAATAGACTATATAATTGGAAGTAAAAGATGGCGGAACTCTATATGGTGGCCAAGACTAGATCAGGCGCCGACTGTGGCACAGATCATGAATTACTCATATCAAAAATAAGAGTATGACTCAAGTAGAAAACAAAACCCGTAATTATACCAAAATATGATCTAAATAATATCTTAACAGAATTTACTGACAACATAAGAAACAGATTTGCATTACTAAACATAATAGACCAAGAACCAGAGGAATTATGGTCTAAAGCCAGGGATATAATAAAAGAAGAATGAAGAAAGACACTTTGAATGAACAAAAAGAAAGAGAAAAAACTATGGATGACAGAAAAAACAGAAAAGAAATAAAGAAAAGAAGAGAAGAAAAACAAAAGGGAGATAGGAACAAACTAAAAATCATGAATGCAACAGTACAATGGCTTGTGTGGAAAGATACAGAAAATTACTACAATGATCAATGCAGAGAAATAGAAGTCAACAACAAAAAGGGAAGAACAAGAGACAAGAGAAGCCCTGGTGATGCAGTGGTTAAATGCCTGTACTGCAGCCACTCACTCACAAACCACCGAGTTCAATACCAGCCAGGGCTCAGGCTCAACTCAGGTTTGCATCCTTCTGAGGTCACTAAAATGAATATCCAGCTTGTTGAGGGCAATTATTTTACAGCTGTAAATGACTTAGAGATTGCATAGCACAGTATCAAGTAATATATGAATGAAGCTGCTATTGCTATTCCTATCTATTTCACAAGATTGAGGAAATCAAAGGGAAATTCAAACCAATTGGTTCCCAATTGGCAAAAGGGTCAATCAAGGCTGTATCCTTTCACCCTGTCTGTTCAACTTGTTTGCAGAACATATTTAAGAAAAACTTGGACACAGAAGAAGGAGGAGTGAAAATAGGAGGAAGGAATATCAACAATCTAAGATATGTAGATGACACTACAATACTAGCAGAAAACCTCACAGATCTGGAACACCTACTAAGGGAGATCAAAGAAGAAAGTGCAAAGTCGGGCTTAATACTGAACATAAAGAAAACAAAAATAATGACCACCGAGGAC